CATTTTTACTTGAAAGAACAACTGACAGACAAACTGATTATTCAGATCTGGGTATTTGGTAGACATTTTCTCAAAAAAAAAATAAATGAAGTGAGCCTGTCACTTCAAGTAAAACAACTGACAGTATTTGTTGCCAATTATAAAATTTGAGCTTTCAAGCAAAAATTTAGAATTTCGGAAAACTTTTATCTACCACCATGAGCTTGACAGTTTCCTAAGACTTAAAGACTTTACTGATAAGATCGGTGGTGATATTAACACATGTGGTGTTTTGGATATTGTATAATGAGATGTGTTAATATTTGGAAGATGCACTTAATTCAGTGAACTTATATTTTCCAAATGATCAATGCAAGATGTTACATGTGCTTGGGTAAATGGTACATTCAAAGTGCAAGATAGATCAATGGATTTTAGTGTAACAGATTACAAAGAGGTCATTGCAACTAACCTTTAAGAAATTGCCACTTGTCAAGTTTAGGTGTGGTATCAAAGAATATCCGTGATTATCTGAGAAGGCCATTAAGATAATCTTCCCCCTTTTCCAACTACATATCTATGCATGAGGTTGGATTTTCTCACATACTTCAATAAGCACAACAAATGGAATGCAAAAGTAATGTGAGAATCTTATTGGTTTTTTATTAAGCCAGACACTAAAGAGATATGCAAAAATGTAAAACAATGCCACTCTTCTCATTAGATTTTGTTTGGAAAATGTGGTCTTTTTTTCATTAAAAATGTTATTATGTTGATATGCAATGGCTTATTATGATCTTAAATGAATGAATATTTTTTAATTTCAATTTCAATTTCTAATAACATCGATTTTAATACATATATTCTACATAAACAAAAGGTTTTTGGAATCCTCAGAAATTTTCAAGAGTGTAAAAGGGTTTGAGGATCAAAACTTTTGACAATTGCTGCTCTACAAAGATCTAAATTACAACCCTCTTTGTACCTTAAAAGTCTGATGAGTTGCTGAGATCAAAAACATTTTCACTTGGTGGCCAATTCTCTGGGGGTGAGCCTCTTCAAAGGTAGCTTCTCCAGTGATAAATACACAGGTAGTCCCCGGGGCCAATACTAAAAGCCTTTCAAGTTTCATACCTATTACAACTTGTGTTCCTCTGGTAGAACCTTTGAGAACCCAGAGTCACCATCATGCCCTGGCAAGACATCAGACAAAAGCTTTAGTGGGTTAGATACAGAGCTAGAATGCACTAGTAATCACCTTCTGATGGCCTGCAAAATGACCTGAATGTATGTCAGATGAACTTGGAAGAATAAGAAGAGAGGAAAAGAAAAGGAAGGAAGAAGCAGGAATCAGAATGAAGAGGTAGTTGTGCTTAGCATCCAGACAGCCTTGGGATATTCCTGAGCTGCCTTGAAATGGAGATGCAAACTTTGGGTTATGGTCAGTGATGAAAGATACCATAGGGAGTGCATGGACTGGCACAGCCCCAGTATCCTCAAACCCAAGAGACCTAGTGGAACCCCAATGATCAAAGAGCCAAACAGAGCCTTCTCTGAGGAGCTAGAAGATCTCCACACTGGACACTAAGAGAATCTAGAGGAGATGGGGAAATAATTGACAGTTTCTTCTTGTCTACTCATAAGCTGAAGGACAATTGCTAGGAAGTTTCTTTCCCATTCATCATTTTGAGACACACAAAGAATCAAACCCATTTGTGTGCGGAGTGTGACGAAGGTGGAGAATGATTTAATACTTGATTCTCTCATTTGTTTGTATTGCTTTCTTTTGGGGGGGGCGGGCAGGCTAGGCAGGGGTTAAATAACTTGCCCAGGGTCACATAGCTAGTGCTATGTGTCTGAGGTCGGATTTGAACTCAGGTCCTCCTGAATTCAGGGCCAGTGCTCTATCCACTGCACCACCTAGCTGCCCCTGTATTGCTTTCTTGTACAAATTAAATGATTGTACAATTGGATCAGTGTTTCTTGAATGGTCTTGTAATAGAGTATTACGTTGGTGGGGGCTCAGTGTAATTCGTATGTTATTATTCAAAGTAGCCATAATAAACTTGGTTATACATGGTATAGTAGAAAAGATGCTGGATTTGAAGTCAGAAGATGAACTAGGAGAGTCATTCCTTTGCTGCTTAACTACTTGTGAATTCTGGATCAAACCTTTTCATCTCTCTGGTCCTCATTTTCCTTGTATCTGAAATGAGGGAATTAGATTAGATAAACTATGAGGTGCCTTTCAGATCTGATCTCTAATCCTATGATGCCATTTTGTGTATGTATGCATACGTGTACACATATATAACATAATTACCATATATTATATATCATATATCATTGTGTGTGCGCAAGCCCTGCTCTCAAAGATATTATAATTAAGCAAGGAGATAAGATATTACACACATTAATCACATGACTAGTATCATTTAAATAGCCAAATGTGTGGTGCAGATAATATTGAGGAGCTCAGAATCCAGCGTAGGTTGAAATTGGGTCTTACGGTGAATCTAAGGAAATGGCAGGATTTCACAATTTTTAGAGTAGGAAGGAACCTCAGCATCCATGTAGTCTAATTCATGCATGAAAAGAATCCCCACTCTAACACCCAGTAAATGGTCATCCAATTTGTTCCAGATGACTTCCAAGGAGGGGATCACTTTTACTCAGCTTTAATAGGCATGTTTTCATGACATCAGGCTTAAATTTACCACTTTGCAACTTGCCCCGGAACCAAAAAGAGTAACTATGATTTTTCTTCTACACGACAGCCCTTCAAATACTTGGAAACATCTCATTTCCTCCCCCACCCCACTTCTCCCTTTTCTCTAAATATTCCCACTTCTTCCAATCACTCCTCATATGACAACGATCCAAGGCCCTTCATATCCTGGTTGCCCACCTTCAGGAACTTTGCAGCTCAATGTGCTTCTTAAACTCCAATACCTAGAACTGATCCCAGTATTGCAGATGAGGTATGATGAGGGCAGAGTTCAATAGCACTATCACTTCCTTATTTCCAAAAGTTGTAACTCTTTCAATGCAACCCAAGATCATATTAGAGTTTGGGGCTGGTAAGTAAATTGTACTGTTCATACAAATTGGTTGAACTTACAGTCCACCTAAACCCCAAGATCTTTTTTCCAGAAGAACTTTTATCCACCCATCATTCCTCCAACTTATGCTTATGATTTTAGCCAAGTATAAGACTTTACTCTTATCTCTACTGAATTTCATCTTATTAGATTCTGCCCCATGAGCTAAGCTGTAGAGATCTTGTTGGATACTGTCATCTGGTATGTTAGCTGTCTCCCATCTTTGTGACATCTGCCAATATGATGGCCAGGGGGAAAATGGCATTTCCAGCAGTGGAAACAGCAAGAACAAAAAACAGGTAGGGGAGAGTGGGCCAGGAGAGTCTTCAGGACAAGAAAATACCAGCTTGAAAATACCAGGATTCACAATGAGAGGAGAAGGGTTAATGGCAGAAAAAAATGTGGAGAAGTAGTACAGGAAATATCCTAATTCATTAACAGCCCAGTTTGAGTTCAATCCTTTTTGACCGATAGAGAAGGCCAAACTTTGTGCTGCCTAGAAATGTTAATGACTAAATATGGATTGTAAGAACAGCAGGACATAAGATTATAGCAGACTTGTGCTATCAAGGTACCAGCGCCTTTTTCCTGCAAGTGGAAAATAAAACAAAAATAAAAAACAAACAAACAACACTAGTCTCTATGTTCTGCCTACCGTTCTTTTAATCATCATCAACAGATTCTCTTTCTAAAAGCACCTCCTCCATGGTCCACTCCCGTAAAAAACAAAACAAAAACAAAAAGAACCCACCACCTAGTCATACTTTTGGCAGACTAGTGAAATTAGAATTAGGGAGTGGTGATGAAACTGGAGCCAAAATAACTTGTACTAATTGCCTGAATCTGAATTAAAGCCAAAGAATTAAAATATAAATGAACTAAAAACAGCAACATTTTCCAGAAATGCATACTGAACAAGTATGTCTTCCTGAAAATATTGGATAAGAACTGCTTAGGCCATTTCAAGATCATAATACTCACTTTCATGAACATTATCTTTCACCATAAGATTAATTTCAAAGAGGGAAGTGCACAGATAACCATGGATTGTATATCTTTCTATAAGCAATCCTAATGTATGTTATATGGGGATGCTTTAAAAAAAAAAAAAAAAGGAAAACAGTGTAGTTTAGTGGATAGAATACCAAGATGACTTGAGTTCAAATCCTTCTACTGATCTGTACTGACTGTATGACCTTAGGCAAGTCACTTGACCTCCGAGTGTCCCCACTCAATTCTCCAAGATTAAAAGTTATGGAAGAGCCAACAATTTGTCTAGAGAAATCAAATTTTCACTTGATGATCACAGGTTTTCACCGTTGATCACCTTAACTTGATGAAGTCACAGGTCTGGACCAAAAACTAAACACTAAACCTAACCCTCATCACCCAGACTTGTGCTTATCTACCCACCCGTCTGTCATGGGACACACTTGAATTCCTAGGCCCAATACAATTCCAGTGTTTAGAACTCCTGTTTAAACAGCAGACATTTAGACACTAAATCATTATCTCACTTAAGTTTTATCTGATCATTTTCTCAATGTGACTGGGCTGTAATAGGGTTATGTTTCCTCTGCTGACTAGCAGGAGTGTTTAGGTTATTAAAAAAACTCAGCTGCCTACATCAGGCCCGTTTCTCCACATGAGTGAATTTCCCTTTAACTCTCTCTAAGGAAAACAGAGCTTGTACTAACAGAAGAAATAAAATTTCCTTCCTGTTCTAAAATGAAAGACTGAGAAGAAAAGGAAATATCGTTTTCTTCCTTTAAACATACCCAGAGTAACCAGAATCCCAGGTTGATGTTTATTTGAAAGCTAAAGGAATCTTGTAGCTTCAGTAGGATTTCTACAGACCAATTTAAAACAGCAAACATTTTTTATTAGTGCATTTCTATAAGTGACTCATTAAATAATTAAAAACCCAAATTGTCACCTAATGTCACCTATCATCAACCATTCCAAACAAACTGATACTACTTAGAGCAAGCAATATGTGTCTGAAGATATAAAAGTTCCAGGGATCCCCCCTCTTTTCTTTTTCTTTGGAAGACAGCTAGACCTTTTGGATGGAAGCGCGCACCCATCTGGTAGATCTTGAGGAGTCTTCCAGGAAAGTAGTTGATAATGAATGTAGGGCATCACCCCACCTTCGGGGATCGTTGTACCAGCCAAGAGCTTGTGAAGTTCCTCATCATTGTGAAGGGCTAGCTGGATATGTCGAGGGGAGATCCGGGTTTTTTTGTTTGCCTGAGCAACATTACCAGACAGCTCCAGTAATTCGGCTGTCAAATATTCCATCACAGCAGCCAGAAAGATAGGGGCTTCAGCACTGATTCTTTCAGCATAATTTCCAGCCTTTAAATACTTATAGATTCGGCCTACTGGGAACTGCAAGCCAGCCCTGTAAGACCGAGATATCTTGGAGGATGAATTTTTCTTGATAATCATTTTGCCTGGTGTAGACATGTTCATTCAGCTGGGGAAAAAATAAAAATCACTTATTTTTGTGACATTATAATTATCACCCCAGTATTTCTCTACACAGAGAGTCAGTGTTGCATGGTACATCAGGGGATCATAGGATGATGGAGCTAGAAGTACTTTGAGGGCCATTGAGTCCAATACTTTCATTTTGCAAATGAGGAAAACTGAGGCACACAGAGATTAAGTGACTTGATCAGGATCATTTATCTAGTGTCTGAAGTAGGATTTGAACTCGGATTTCCCTGACTAGAACTCCAGTGCCTTATCTACTATACCATATTTCCTTTCTAGATCATCTAATCCAACCCATTTCTGAATGAGAACTTTATCATAGTATCTTTGAAAAATGGCCATATATGTAGTACTAGAATAGAGGTTCTTAACCTTGAGTCCACGAAATTTTTTGAATGTGTAATTTGGTAATTATATTTCAATATAATTGTGGTCCTTGGTAATCCTATGTGATTTATTTTATGCAATTAAAAACATTATTCTGATAAAGGGTCCGTAAGTTTCACCAGACTTCCAAAGGAGTCTGTGATAAAACAAAAGATTTGGAACTCCTGTATTTGAAGATTTTCAAGAAGAAGAACTCACTGCCCTTCTAGGCCAGAATATTCTCCTTTTAAGCAGCTCAACTCATTAGAAGGCTAGATGGCACTGTAGCATCGTGTCAGCTCAGTTCAAATCTGGCCTCAGACACTTACTAGCTGTGTGACCCTGGGCAAGTCACTTAATCCCATTTCCTCATCTGTAAAATGAGCTGGAGAAGGAAATAAACTACTCCAGCATCTTTGCCAAGAAAACCCTAAATGGGGTCACCAAGAGTCAGACATGACTGAACAACTAGTCATCAGGGAGCATTTGGAAATCTCTCCACAACTTCTACTCATTGTTCCTTGTACTGCTCACAGCTGAAAGAAACTTAATCTTTTTTCTTTAAAACAATCCTTTGCACAATTGAAAGCATTATGGAAAACCACTCCTTTTCACTTTAAGTCATCAAAGATGCCCAACACCATATTAGATACTTGGAGGCATCTAATATCTCCAGAAAGAGGTATCAGAGGGGTATGGAGGTATAAGAAGAGCAGAAATAGCTTCTGCTTTCAAGATTCTTGCTGCTATTGAGAAGAGATGGAAAAGACCATCCTAGAAAGCAATTTGGAACTATGCCCCCAATCACCACATACCCTTTGACCTAAGGGCTACATGCCAAATAGATTAAAGAGAAATAGGACCTAATATACAATAAATATGTGCGTACATATATATGTACATATACACACACACTATATGTGTGTATGTGTGTATGTGTGTATGTGTGTATGTATGTGGGTGTGTGTATGTGTGTGTGTGTGTATGTGTGTGTGTATGTGTGTGTGTATGTGTGTGTGTATGTGTGTGTGTATGTGTGTGTGTATGTGTGTGTATGTGTGTGTGTGTATGTGTGTGTGTATGTGTGTGTGTGTATGTGTGTGTGTATGTGCGTGTGTGTATGTGTGTGTGTGTATGTGTATATGTATGTATATGTATGTGTATGTGTGTGTATATATATATATTTACAGCTGTTCTTTTTATAGTAGCAAAGACCTGGAAATTAAGGAAGTGCCTATCATTCAGAGAATAGCTACACAAATTATAAGAAAATAATAGAATACTTGTGTATGATGAGAAGAGGTGAAAAGAACAGTTTTGGAGAAACCTAGGAAGACTTGTAGGAACTAATGCACTTTGAAGCGAGCAAAACTAGAACATTTTGTGCATTGTAAAGACAGAGAACTTTGAAACACTTAGGAACTATAATTCATACAATGATCAACCATGATACCAGAGGGGCCGATGATGTTACCCACTTCCTGACAGAGAAGTGTTAGACTCAAAATGCAGAACAAAACACAAATTTTAGGTCGTGACCAGTTTGTGAATTCGTCTTGCTTGACTGCACACATTTATCACAATGGTTTTGTTTTTCTTTTTCAATTGTAGGGCAAGGTAGGGGAGAGAGAGATGATAAATTTTGTTAGATAATAACTCAATTTTAAAAAGAAAAATGAACAAACTGAGTTTGGGGTGGAGCAGATTAGGGAGAATGCTGACAAACTGAATGGAGTAAAAACCTTTCTGCTAGATAGGAGTTGCAATTATTTAGATGCCTCCTAACTACCCTTCTTCTGAAGGCTAAAGATAATTTCTCTCCTTAAGTATCAACTCTATCTATCTTACCCTGGAATACCAATTCTTACATGTTTCTCCAAAAGATTTCTCTGTCTTCTTCAAATACTATACTGTCTATCAGTTAGCATGCCATCACCTTTCTTTAAAGGTATTTTCATTGATTGTGGAGGAAAAGGCTACGAGGGCAGAGACTATATCATCTTTTTTTTTTCTTTATATCTCTAGTTACTAGCATGGAACCTGGCACACAGTGGTCACTTAATAAAGGCTTAATGATTAACTGAGCCATAAATGCCTCCCTTCCACCGACATATTATTTACCCATTGTAGCTATAACTCCCTTATTATAAAAAGTCAGGTAGAACCACCCAAAGGGCTTCATTGCTTCTTGACCCTAAAGTCTTAGTTAGGAAGTTTAACAATCAAATTAATTGCTAGCACAATTCATTATAGCTCAGGTTACTGAACCCAAGGGGAGAAAGTATGGCTCACACAATGAGTTTGCCCATGTTCAATTAAGGTTCCTCTTAGTCCTGATATTCACATTCCTTCTGAAAACAAAAGACTTTTCTTTCAAAGGATTCTCAAAAGTATTGCTTTGGGGGCTTGGAAAATTCCAGTTGTCACTGTGACTACAGAAACACTGTCCTTTTAGAAGCTGTATCAACTTTAGCCTAAATATTTTCAGTAACCCATACACAGGAAAATTGGTTCTCATACCAACAAAAAAAGGAGTCCTTACCTGTAACTATCTGCTCCAATGATAAAAACGAATAAATTAAGGAATAACTCTAACCTCCACTGTAAGAAATCCCAACCCTGTACCTGATGCTTCCTCATTTTAACTGCTTTGCTCTCGTGAGGATGTGAGGACCATTCTTCTCCTAGGAGGAGAATATTGATGACACCTGGGTTATTCAATTCCACAAAGATTGATCTCAGGTATAAGTAAGTGTTTCTGAACCATAAAAACCTAAAAGAAATAAGTGGGATGCTTATTCCAAGATCAATTTCATTGGCTTTCCCAATAAAAAGTATTTTTTCCAGGTCAAGGTTTGGCAGAGTTCTGCCTACAAAAACATAGGGGATAGGTATAAATGGAATAGGCCCAACCCAAATTTACTGTCTTGGGTTGCTTCTATTCCCATCACATTTTCTACCTTTGGACCCCAGACCCTCAAATGTTCATGATTTTTCTTCCCTCTACATTCTCTATCTTTGGATTCCACCCCCTCAAATATTTATAGTTTTAACCTTAGTACAGGAATCTCAGTGTTTCATTTTAAAGGGTTATCATATTGATTTTTTTCTAAGAAACACAAAATATTTGTTCTGCTCTTTTGGAGTATGATCTTCTTTCATGGTTCCCTAGGACTTAAAAATGTTTGCTTTTTTCATTCTTCAATTCGATCAATAGCCATACCTGCTATCTTTTAGAAAGCAACGGTCAGGAAACCTGCATGATGCCTTTTCTTAGTTGAGAAAGTTCTTAAAAGGTGGATTTAGGAAGAGTTTACTCTGACTTTAATTTATATTCAGAGGCTGATTAAGTCCTGCTTCCTGGGAAGAGAAACAGGTAGTGTATTCATTCCTTTCCCTTCTCTTTTCTCATGGAGGAAGCCAAATATATCTTGCAGTCATCCTAGACCACTGGCTTCTTCAGTATTCAGAAAGTGTTAGTCTGTGTCCTCTATGCTCATTTAGCCTTCTAATACATTTAATATGATAAACTATTGATTCATGTAAATCCAGACTATCTATTGCATTTTATGTGAGGTTCATGTATATAGATTTCAAAAAAAAAAAGAGGGATTTTTTCTTGTTTCAGAGATAATACACATAATTGAGTAAGACAAGAGAGCTGAACCTGAGAGTTCATAGCTGCACATTTAATAGAAAGGAGAGTTTATTTGGCTATCTTAATGAGTACCCTGAAACAGATGTAGCCACTTTAGGAAGATCCTGCTGGCAAATGAAAGCTAATGTAACCGCAGAAGCAAGTAAGCAGAAATAAGGTGCCATTTTCCTTTTATTCCCAGAAGGCAAAGTGTACAATTTTTGAAGGAAAGTCATGACCCCCCAAAAAAGTGAGTTTCTTGGGAAGCACTGTCCATGTGAAAGGGGCAGGGGAGGGAGTTCCTCAGATATGTATAGCAATGGCCCCAGACTAAGAGTTGATTGACAGTATAGCCTGCCTTGCCATCACTTGATGATTATACATAGAAAACTGAGATTGACTATGGTTGAAGAAAAAAGCTCATATACCAAAGTATCTGTAATAGCATTTTTGTGATGTTAAAAAAACAACAACCTAGAAAGAAAATAGATAGCAATTTGTTGGGGAATGACTGAATAAATTATAGCATACCAAAATAATGGAATATTATACTACTGTAAGAAATGATGAATATGAAGAATCCTGAAAAACTTGGGAAGAATTGTATGAAATAATTCAGTGAAGCAAGCAGAACCAAGAGAAAAACATACAAAATGACCACAATAATGTAATGGAAAAGAATATCAAAAGATATGAGAACTCAGGACAATGCAGTGGCCAGTCTTGATTCCAGAGGACTGATTATGAACTATATTTCTCTACATTTGGTAGAGAAGTGGTAGACAGCAGGGGGAAGTGTTATACTGCTAGACATTGTTACTTTATTGGCCTCTTTTGCTTAAAATACTTTGCTACAAGTGAGGGTTCTATACCGGAAAGAGGCAGTTATGGGAACGACAATGATATTGGGAGGGGAAGGCATCAACACAAGGTTTTTAGTTTTATTTTAAATATTGACTGTGGTTTCCAATTCTGGA